CAAGTGGAAATATCAAACAAGAATGACTTTTGAAATGTATTTTATTGTATGAAAATCAAATACAGATAAGTGAAAAAAAACCGGAATTATTATTTTGTCAAATATCAAAAAGAACAGGAATCTGGGTGGATTTTTATTTTAATTTCAGGGTGGGATTTGCAAAATTTTAGGGTGGGATAATAACAGGAGGAAAAAGTCTGGCCTGACTTTTTAAACAGAAAGCAGGGTGAATTATGGCTCATTTAAATATTTCAAATTAATCCCACCCTGAAATTGCTCTTAATTTAACTAGAAGTAAATCTATTTTTTTAGAAATCTGTGCGAGGGAAAATTCTGCCCTGGGATTTCCATTTCAGGGTGGTATTTTTTCTGGCTCATTTTTAAATATTTCGTTGAATCCACCCTGAAACACTATATATTGTATACTAAAAAATCTAAAAAATAGATTTCTGTCTTCTCTATAGTCAACTGAATAGCATAAAAAACCTGGCTGGGAATAAATTTCTGATCCCATGTCAAATCAGGGTGTAGTCAGGGTAGGCATTTTCGTACAGGATGAATTATTGACAAAATTGCCTAGAAGTGTAACACCGGCACAATTACATGTAACATATCAGACATTTATAATTATCTTGGTTACATCATAATGTAACATGAAATAAAATTTCCTCTCAAATAAAATTCCAGTAATTTTTTATTGTTTGTTTAATTCTTATCAAATTAAGTTAAATAATTCATCTTTTTTTTGATAAAACCACTATTAATGACTAAACAAATGTTTGAATATGCACTATCAAACAAAATTCTATAACTTACAATGCCGTATAAACATGAAGATGAAAACATCTCCTTCCGTATGTGTCTTTAAACATCACAAGTAAAATGATAATGAAGACTAAGACAAAATTTAAATAAAACATTGGCACACTATAAAATGTGAAAATTTGGGACAATACTGCCACCGGTACGTGATTTTAAGATTGGACTTGTTCAATCAAGCGTGCAATTTACATTTCAAGGTTCAAATAAGGTAAAATGTTTAAAAAAAAATAAATGTTTTCTAAAAGTATATTATTTAATTTATTTATTTAAGTCCTATTCATGTGCAACCACAATTTAAAATTCATAAGCTTACACGGTACCACAAATATATTAGTACATGACCATATTCAAACATTGAATTTTAAGAGGCTATATGTAGTGTTATTATCATGTAAAATTTGTAAAGACAGAATATTTCATAGCACTGGATGGTGACTTTGGTGAGGCTGCTCATTTGAGCCGTGTCACGACAAAACCAACATAATGGGTTTGCCACCAGCATGGATCCAGACCAGCCTGCGCATCTGCGCAATCTGATCAGGATCCATGCTGTTCGCTATCAGTTTCTCTACTTGTGGATGCTCAGGCTGGTCTGGATCCATGCTGGTCACAAACCCAAATCAATTTCAATACCTCGAAAGATCAATTATCACGTATCCTTGCCCAAATTTTAGATGGTAATTAATATCCCCTTCTCAATTTTAGTACTTTAAATCTGCTCAATTTTAATTTCCTAGCTCAATATCCCTGGCCATATTTCAAACAGTATCTCATGCTCAATTTAATTATCCTTAATCAATTTGGTTATTCCTGGCTGTATTTCAAACAATATCCGCCTGCTCAGTTTTAATAATGCCAAATTTCGATATCCTTGCTCAATTTTATTATCCCTGCTCAATTCAATAACTATTACAGTTATACCAAACACCATAAATTAACTATTGACATTTTGAAATTGAATTCAAGACAAGTCTTTTAAATAATGAGCTGCGCCTTGACAAACCAACATAATGCGTTTGCGACCAGCATCGATCCAGACCAGCCTGCGCATCTGCACAGTCTGATGAGGATCCATGCTGTTCGCTTACAAACCCTATTACAAGTAGAGAAACTGATAGTGAACAGCATGGATCCTGATCAGACTGCACAAATGCACAGGCTGGTCTGGATCCATGCTAGTCGCAAACGCATTATGTTGGTTTTGTCATGACGAGGCTCATATATAAAACAAGTATAGAACTAATAGATAATGAAATTATGTAGAATTAAAAGCTACTTCACCACATGTTATATTAATCCCATTAAAAAGTCATCATTACAATTACATATTATTTCTTATACAATACACTACAATAACACATATCATATATAATGCACAAAAAATATTTCCTCATTTATGGAACAAGGTAAACAAAATTTCCATACAGATGCTGGCTGTTATACATTAAACCACATCCATTTCAATAATATAATTCAATCGACAGTCCTTAATTAACGTGTGAACGGCCAAACTAGTATAGTTCAAACACCATACCAAATAAGATTATTTATCTTTTAAATAATTAAAAAAATGGATAATTTGTGAAAATAGGAAAACTTAAATTCAGCGTTACAGTACAACAAAATTAATGGCTGTCAATAAGATTGTATGCTTAAGAAATTAGCATGTACTTCAAAAATACACGACTGGTAGGTTCAAAATCGAGGCGGCATTAGTATAATGTAAGAACATCTAGCTATCTAACTAAGTAATGAATTTTTTTTATAAAAGGTAAAATTGTTTAACAATCAAAACCTTTAAATTCTCTATAACAAAAATGTCTGGTTTCTTTTGTGAAAGTATAATTATGGAAGTCACAAGAACAAAAACTAATTTTTAAAGCAGAAAGATAGAGTTAGGGAATGACTACAATGTCAAATAATCCTTAATCAAAATTGATAAGACTTTACCACCAGTATAGAGCTTAATAATGCAGGCCAGTTAGCACGTGCCTGACAAGGCTCTATACTTTTGGCCGAATAACTTTAAAGCAGCCTTCAGCTTTATTTTTTGTTGGAAAAACAATTCTGTATCTGTTCAAACTAAGACAGTATTCCAGTACTTTTATCTTGGAAAAGTGCATCAAATTATTGTTATGCCTTCTTCAAAACAGCATTCCGAGAGCTATTTATTGCGCAATAGTGATGTTCGTTTTTTAAAAATAGAGGATCAGGAAGGGAAACAGCCGATTAACTAATTTACATATAAAGAGAACTGGACCAGATTAGAGGTAGCAAAGGATTTTGTTATTATTAATGTTATAATTTTATTGACAAAAAATTTCATTTTCCACCTCAATGATCTTGATATGATTATAATATGAAACGATTTAAAAAAACAAAACATATTTAACCTTTAGAAAAACTGAAGGCCGCTTTAACTTTTCATCTTGATAACCCTAAATTTGATCATGGACTGTCCCCAAAATGGAATTCAAGAAATTCAGCAGGTGAATTTTTAAAAGACAAAACTGTATGCTCCCAAATATTTCTTTAATAAAGCTAAAAGTTTTATCCAAATATCATAATAATTATATAAAGATAAGCTTCGATACACAAAGTCACATAAAGTCATAGGAATGTAAAGTCTAATCAGCCTATCATTACAGTATCTATCTAACTTAATATTAAAACATGATAAATGTTTATCATTGTTTATTAAATAATTATTTCTGCTGAAGATATCCTAAGAACGCACTGGAAGTGCAACCGATAATATTTAAAATATTGAGTTCGTTACTTCTTAAATTATATTATTATTTTATCTCTGACTTAATATATACATTATTATGTTCAATGTCAAAAATGTTTTAGTATGTTAAAATGGCTCCTTAATAAAAAAAAAAATGGCCTGCATTTTATGATATGTTTTGATGTTGAATTATAAAATCTTCAATACTTGACATTCATATAAATAAAAAAAAATCACCAATCTATAGGCAATCATTGGGTCATTAATAAAAGAGAAAAGTGATTCAGGCCATAAGAAAAACTTTTATCAATCGATTAATAATGGCAATAAATCGACATAGGTTATAAAAATATCACTAAGGTCAAGAGCCATAATGCAAAATTTAATATCAAACTTGAACTTTTTGTTCTGTATTAACTTGCAAATGTTTGAAAACTCAACATCTGTAAGCCCAGGAGAGTAAAGACTAAAGTGCCTTTAAACCTAAAACATACATAGATTACGATCACTTGAAAACTACTCTAAAACTACTTTTAAATAGGTTAGAAGTTTAAATAGGATTTAAATGATAGTAAAATAGATCATAGTGAGTCCTTGTGAATAATTTCTAGATAAGTTCTACAGTATTTCAAGATAAGTTCTTCAGTATGGTAAAGCAGGCAGACATGTGAACTTTTTTCGATGATCAAGTGGGAGATTTTTCTTCAAAAAAGAGGGAGATTTTAGAATTTGCAATAAACAAAGAAGAAAGTTCTGATATCAAAAAAAGAGGGAGATTTCTTTAATTTGTGAAAACAACCCTTATTTTAAGAAAAATCTTTGAAAATATGGCTGCAGAAAGTGGGAGTCTCCCATGCGCAGGTACATTTATAATAATGTTCAACAGTTCTGTAATGGTAAGGTACAATAAGATGTACATAAATGTAGTGAAGGACAGGTAATAATGTTATAATATTTAACAATTCTATACAGGAAATCTACAAAGCACTGTGAAGGACAGGTATACTAAATTTCTACAGCACTGTAAAAGACACACAGAATAACTGTTAACAGTACTGTTAAAGATAGGAACAAAAACTGTTGTTCAATACAGTAAGAGGCAAGAATAATTAAATTCTTCAGTACTGTAAAAGACAGTACCCATAAGGTGCTTCAATTACTGTAAAGTACAATTGTATTGAACAGTACTTTCAAGGACAGTTACAAATAAGATCTAATGTACTTTCAATGCAGTTCAACAATATTTCAAAGGACAGGAAAGTTTTTTAGAACTGTACGGGAAGGCACAATTATTAATTTCACAGTCTAAGACCAGGTTTATGTACCTTTCAAGGAGTCAGGAGAAAATGAGTAAATTACAAGTATCTTATATTATAAAGTGGTCAAAATTTCACTACAAGATCAACTTACAAATCAATGAAATTAATGTAATTTAGGACAGACCTACCACAAGAAATGATGAGACTTAGGCCGTGCCTCAATAATCTGTGCCGATTTCTCCATTTTCACTTTTGGGACCATCACATCCCTTGACACTGTCTTGTTACCCAAATTATTTGAGCTCTGGGACTTTTCCCGAAAATAATTTCTTTTCCGTAACAAAATTCCATCGGCAGTAGGCATCTTGCTAATGTCATCACCGCCATTTTCAGTATCAACTAAATGACATTCTGTCGCACTTCTCTGTGTCCTGATATGCAATCCCACATCTTCGCTGTCGTCGTTTTTGCTGTCATCATTTTTGCTGTCATTAATGTCAAATTCTGACAGAATATTGTCTGTGTTATCAACAGGAGTATTGCTATTCATCCAGTCATCTTTTTCTGCTTGATTAGCTAGATCAACCATGTGTTCTTCAAAATTATCCTTTATGTTAGCACTTTGTGCAATCATATTGTGAACTGCTTTTCTTTTATTAATCTTCTGCATTCTGGTAATGTTGTTGCCCACTGACCTTTTTGTACTTCTGTTTTTGATATCTTTTTGCACTAATCCCTCATGTATTATATCTTTTCCGCTTTTTTGAAACGTTGTCCTGAATCCATCTTCATGGCCAGATATGTCATGTGTTATTTCTGAACATACTTCAAAATCATTCTTCAACTTAGTTTCTTCCTTCTTGACCAAAACTTCAGTACAATTTGTCGTCTGCAACTTTTCTCCTCTCATTACATCTCCTGTATTATCATGTACACATGTCCGGCTACTTAACAATAAATCAGTCTCGAAACCTGCTCTACCCCCATCGTTCACTTTTCCCGACAGCTCTTTCAATCCGAGAGGTGAAAAATGTGATCGTCCTTTATCTACATTAACACTGCCATTATGATAGCTTCTACTTTTGCCACTACATATGACCTCGTAATCTGACTTCCACGTCTGATTATTATTCACATCCATGATAACGTGTTATTTTTACACTATAATCATCAACTTCAATATGACGTTATGAAATTCAAAATACTATCTCTAATTTCTTCAGGTATTTAAAGATGCATTACCAATAATATCTTAAATTTTTCGTCTCCGGTCTGTTCTAAGTCACATTATTATTTTGTATATGCATGCAGTCGTGTTAAAAAAACCCATGTTCTTCAAGTTTAATGCCTTGTAGGATCAAGTCATTGTACTGTTCCACCGAAATATTAAGTATATTAACAAGTTTTAACATTACAAACGTGAAAAGAGCAGTGTCAAAGCATGTCAAATTACATCCTTTTCCTACCTTGTCACTTCGTAATAGATCTTTTCATCATAAAACTTATTACAAAATATGCTTATTCACACAAGATGTAAATAAATAACTTGTTTAAAAACCAAATGACCCATGTCTAAATTCATATATGTAAAATTACTCGATGACATCCTGATCCAAAACATTTTTTTTTTACAAAATTACTTGTTCATTCATGCGGAAAAAAATCAGCGATACGAGAACACTATCTTTACATGACTGTCAATAATAGCTAAGCATCACAATATCTTTGTTACGCTGACATTGCCCATAATTTAACCATCATCGTTGTCATATTTTCTCTCGGGGTAAAGTGTTTAAAAGTTACGTAAACTATAGGATACATGGACTACATTAAAACTTGTTTGCATGTCTGAAGTAAATTATCTACATCAAAATACTTATATACTTACATACATATAGTAATTGAGTAACAATACGTGGGCATTTGTGGGCATTTAATCACTCGGGTAAAGTTTTTCTTTCAAATACAGATTGAAAGTAATACCTTATCAACAACTCTATTTTTTAAGTATAAATCACGAGGTATATCTTATTTGCTATTTCATGTTAAACGAGAGCCAATGAACACCTTTCTCGTATCTAAACAGACGTAAGATTATGACAACATACAATTTTTCAGGTTTTTTGGCGATCACTGTGTATAACTGTCATCATCAATGTGCACTTCAAATTTATCTTTTGTTTGTGTCAAGCTTAGAGCTTTTGGACTGTTTACCATAACCGACTATAAATAGAGTTTGTCTTACTGTTTTAAACCTAAGAATGAGAAAGAGGAAATGGCCTTAATTTATTCCTCTATTTTCATGCTGTGTGTCACAAACATTAAAACATTTATACAAAAAAAAAAAAAACTAGTTTTATAAAATATTGACCAATGTGTCATGGTTTAATCTAATGTGTGCAGCACCCTATTATTTATAGTGAATTAAACAATTTAAGAAACACAGCCCTCTAATTTTATAGTGAATTAAACAAAAGAAACACAGCCCTCTTATTCTATAGTGAATTTAACAAAAGAATTACTGCCCTCTTATTTTATAGTGAATTAAACAAAATAAACATTGCCCTCTTATTTTATAGTGAATTAAACAAAAGAAACATTGCCCTCTTATTTTATAGTGAATTAAACAAAAGAAACTTAACATTGCCCTCTTATTTTATAGTGAATTAAACAAAAGAAACATTGCCCTCTTATCTATTGTGAATTAAACAAAAGAAACATTGCACTCTTATTTTATAGTGAATTAAACAAAAGAAACATGGCCCTCTTATCTATTGTGAATTTAACAAAAGAAACATTGCACTCTTTTTTTTTATAGTCAATTAAACAAAAGAAACACAGCCCTCTAATTTTACAGTGATATAAACAAAAGAAACACAGCCCTCTTATTTTAAAGTGAATTAATCAAAAGAAACACAGCCCTCTTATTTTATAGTGATTTAAACAAAAACAATCAAACTTGTTTAATTGATCTGCCACCATACTCTTTACAACTCACTTGATGGAAATTTCTTGGTATATACATAACAAAGTTAATGAAGAAAAATTGGTGGCATGGACGAGTGGTTAACATTTCAGACTAGTAATCTAAGTGTGCAGGGTTCAAAACTCGCAAGGGGTAAGCTGTTGTTTCGTTATAAAGCAAGAAACTTTATGCTCATTGCTCAGTACTGGTTGGATTGAAGGAATGGATTTAAAACTGTGTCAGTAAGTTATAGTCTTCTACAGAATTAAACTAAAATAAATTTTGTATAAACCTGAAGACAGGTTCAAAAATGTATTTATAGAAAACAAATTAATGCCATTCTCAATATCTTGTTATTTACAAACTGTTGACACTGTCTTTTAAATCACCACATATCAACTGTTGTAAATTCTTATTTTATATATAGGCCTGTCAGAATTTTCTATATATGAAATTTCATGAAAGTGAAATACACTGAACCAAACTTATGAAACCCCACTGGATATTTTCAGAAATTTTGAAATAACTTTAAGAAAGTCTAATAAAAGATTTAATATTTATTTTATCTGGAATTACAACCCATTCTTATCAGTTATCTTTTTATATAAAAACATTTGAAGGTTGTAATACATATTGTTTGAATATATTCATACAAAATGACCAACATAGACTGTGGTCATAAATTATATTTGCCTTAATAATAATCTTCACTATTGAGACTACCCTACAATTAAGACCACTTTGGTCCAGTTTGGTTGGTGGTCTTAATAGAGAGTTTTTACTGTACATCTTTTTGGGAATTAGAGATAATGATATACAGTTATTCACCAGTTTAGAAAATTTCAATTTGTATCTTATGAACATTTGGTTACATTGTTCAATGGTGTTACGGAAAAGAGCTGATAGAACATGTGTTCTATAGAATACATGAGCCGCGTCATGACAAAACTAAAATAGTGGGTTTGCGACCAGCATGGATCCAGACCAGCCTGCGCAGTCTGATCAGGATCCATGCTATTCGCTATCAGTTTCTCTACTTGTAATACGGTTTGTAAACGAACAGCATGGAGCCTGATCAGACTGCGCAGGCTGGTCTGGATCCATGCTGGTCGCAAACCCATTATGTTGGTTTTGTCATGATGCAGCTTAGTCATATTCTTCAAGTGTGTGACTTTCAGTTTTCAAGGATGTCATGATTAACCCAGCTGTTACAAAAATAAAAGTTTTCCGGTACAAACCAACTTTTACTGTTACAGCTTCAGGTGCACTACCAGTCACAATAGGTTAGCCAACCTGCTGCACTTATTTTTGAAGCTGTTACTGTAAAAGTTTGTTTGCACGCCCACATTAGGTAAGACAACCTCAAAACATTCTCAAATCCGGGGTAAGTCTATTGTGTTAAATGTCCTTGCAGGTAATAAATGAAATGTCTTATCAGGTATTTGGAATGAAATGTTTTAACCTAGGATGTAATTTTTTATAAGATTTGCTTAAATGTATTTCCACAATTCTCAAAATATAAGCAAAGGGTGTTAAGTTTTTTTGCTTAACAGCTTGCCCCTGAGGGGGTTTGAACCCACACAGCTAGCAATCCTAAGATAACCTGTCTTATTCATAGACACTCAGGCGATACAGACTGGGGACGCACCTATTTATGAGTAATTCTTGTGTATATTATAATTATATTAAGTAAGTTTGTTAACAAACCTTTTTATTACAAGTTAAAAGTCAGAACTTTACTTCTAATTTTCATTTCAGTATTAAATTTGTTCAACAAACTGGCTTAAGCTGGCCTAACCATTTTGTTAAAATACACTTTTTGGATTATCACATTGATAGTGTTTTAATATCATCATACTTACAACACACAATTTGAGCTGTCAAGAAGGCTTCCTTTTGGTCCAAACTTGCAATTAGGGCTTACTCCGTACAGGGACCTTGCTCGTCTGAAAAATACAATATTCATAAATGTTATTCTATAAATAAATTAATATACCTGATAATGCATTATGCAATTTATATATGTATATTTATGCTCTGGACATTTAAGTTTCAGAGGAGAATATTTCATGTGATTTTTACTGTTACCATAAGTCTATGTTAACTGTGTAACATGATCCCCCGGGCGTCACCTTTTCTAACCCTAGGGGCATGATTTACATATATTTTTTAAAGGTCCTTTATATTATAATACATGCTTGATATCTAAGCTCTGGACAAAAAGACTTAACAAAGTTTCGTATATAAGTCTATCTCAACTAAGCGACCGCAGGGTAAGGCCAAATAAGACCATGGGGCTAGGCCAATTGCTACCATGGGGCTGGGCCAATTGCAACCCTGGAGCTAGGCCAATTCTAACCAGGCATGCTTTATATAACTTCTGTAATAGACAAGGTGATGCTGTATGCCAAGTATCTCAGCTTTATGTATTGAACTTCTTAGGAGAGGATTTTATTTTAATTTAAAGTCAATGTTTTAGCTCAAATGTATGTGGAATCTGAATCCATTTAAATAATATAAGGATCATTCTTGTGAAGTTTGGTCAAAATTCAATGTGATTTTTGGGAAGGCGTTGTGAAAAAATAGAACTCCACTAGTCGGAGATTTGCACAGTAAAGCGGTCACTAAGGCAATTTCTTCTTAAATATAGGTTATTTATAAACACCGCTCTTACAATGTACATGTTCCTTGAAATTTAGTGGCATCTGAACTGATTGTTACAATGTTACATCACGATTGATGCAGCTTGAATAGCTTTTATTGTGTAGGAGAATTGGCCCGGACAAAAATAAAGTATTATAATTAACAAAGCGCAATAACTCTAAAATCATGAAGTACAGAGTACCAGTTCTTGTAAACTGCACTGATCTATCATCTTATGAAGTTTCAAGTCCATAGCTTTTATAGTTTAGGTGACAGATTTATATTACATGTTACAAATTAAGATCCGTGTTTAGGAGAAATGGCTGGGACAAAAATAAAGTATTACAATTAACGAAAGGCAATAACTCTAAAATCAGAGTACCAGTTTTTGTACACTACACTTCATCTCAATGAGATCTATCATCCTATGAAGTTTTAAGTCCATAGCTTTTTTAGTTTAGGAGAAAAGGCCCAGACAAAAATAATGTATGAAAATTAACAGAGGGAAATAAAGAAAAAATTAGAAATGCAGAGTACCAGTTCTTGAGCACTGCACTTCTTCTTAATGAGATCAATTATCATAATTATGAAGTTTCAAGACCATAGCTTTTATAGTTGAGGTTAAATGACCTGGACAAAAATAAAGTATGAAAATTAACAAAGGGCAATAACTCAATATTTAAGAAGCGTAAGGTAATGATTCTTGTGCACTGCCCTTCTGGTCATTGAAGGAAGCATGCATACAAAGTTTGAAGTCAATCTTACATATAGGGATTGACTTTGTTCCGGACAAGCCTAAGGGGACGCCAACAAAAGTAACCCCTATATGTCGTTTTTTTCAAGGCGACACAACAATTGTGGGAAAAGGAAAAATGACAGACACACACATTGTCATCAGAAAGGCTGACCTTTATTAAGAACTTTGAGCTCAGGTGAGCTGAAAAGCTGCAATGTTTATAATTTCACTTAATTAATAGCCTTTACTTTGCTTTTTGCCACAGTATAGAGCCAGTCAAATAAGCCTGTACAGTGCAAAATTATGCAGTGTGACCAGGCTCTATACTATTGGCTGACTAAAGACTTTACATTT